CTCAGATAGACGTCTAGAAACGCCAGTAATCTGTCGTTTTTTATTCCTCAAGTGAACTTTATGTTGCTTGGTTTTCATGTTTGAATACTGTTAGATATATAAACATCGCCATATTAATCGTGATGTATTAGCATGACTACGAATCACAGCAAACCAGGTTGTTCGCCACTCTTCGTTCTAATTTCATAACACTACGAATGAGAAATCTGGCTTAATCCCATGGAATAGAAAATGAAATTCAATGGTGGGAAGATAACATAAGTTTCTCTGAAATTTTCACAGTAGTCTGTATATCGTTACTAAGGCGTTTGGTCTACTCGGTCGTATTGAAGAAATAAGCTTATAATTTAGAAATGTACTACTCACAAGTAGTCAGACTTTACTTGTAAAAACTCCTCAACTGAATGGGTCTATCAACTGCACCTGTGGAGAAACAGGAGAACCATTAGCTTCGAGTAAACTTCCGTGGTTAGTTTAAAATACACTGGGTCTCTATGCTTATAGGTAAAATAAAACAGAACAGTTATGCTACACGCATGATTAAGTACCTGGTTGAAGTCGCATATCTTCATATGCATCGAACCAATAAAAATGAACACTGGTCGCATCTGTGGAAGGGAACAGTGGAACGTTTGCTTCAAATTCGTCTTCCTCCCACTTGATCTCCGAATTAGGCAAGCTGTTTGAAGCTTCAGCAGCCAACCAACTGGCAGGACACTCGGGTTTGAGTTTTGTGCGAGGCGAATTGGATGAAACACGTCTTGGCGAGTCAGGAGGCATCGATGTCGATTCTATGACCGGNCTAGACTTCGATGATGGTAGGGGCTCACTGAATTCCTCATCGAAATCCATTCCTGATATGTCTATTGCATCCGTGGTCGGTGATTCCTTATACGCAGAACACGGAGTGATGTCATCGCCATGATCGTCGTCATAAAGAGACACTGAGTACAAATAAAACACAGGATGAGAAAAAACAATTAAAAAGACGCTTACCAGGATAATCAACAACTCCGCATCCGCTCCGAACGAGAACCGAACAATTATGGTTGTAAATTATAATTAAGGTACGATGTAGACAACCAGAAGTGTGATAGAGTAATAATAAACCAAACAAGAACTTGACAGAAAAAGCGGGGGATTACACTGCACGAACAGCCTAGCGATTTGGTAAAACGATAACTGTATTGCTTTACTCAGCTGATTCGATTTCAAATAAACTCAATAACAATCTACGCGAATAAACGAAAAATATCTCCAGTTACAAATCTGTGTTTATTGACAGTGGAACGATTAACAGATATATAGAGACCGTTTCACTTCCAGGATGCGCCTGAGGAGCTCGACACCAAATAGCCATTATTATTAGTAGCGGTATCGCTATTATTATTATCAAATCTTTCTGAGGGTGAGTTGTACAACACCTTAAAAGGTCAGAGGGCTCTTGGTGTTAGCATTTTATGGTTCTATGTCCGTTTTAGTCTATAGAACCATCAACCACGCACTTTCGCGCGGCGGTTTCGGTTACTGTCTCTTGGCAACGCATTTGGATGAAGAAGATGGAAGCTTCGAATGCTGGAAACAGAGTGAAGAAGAATTCGGGGTAGGTTAAAGTGGCAAAGAGATGAATATGTGCCAGTGCAACTGTTTACGACACCCAGCCGTGTCTCCTAATGCCTCTTACCGTCGATCACACTGGTCTTAAGGTCGCCAAGCGGGAAGCCTAACTCAACCTTCATTCCCAAGTGTTATGGTTTGGGTTTCATGAACTCATGCCAGGTCTTGGGTTAGACCGTCCTTGACTTTTTCCACTCACTGCTTAACCCTGTAAGCACTGCAATTCGTGGCAGGCTATTTAGTGGCATGTGTAACCCATGCCCTAGCCAACGTATTCTATGAAGTGAGTGGCCACAATTACCTAAAACTCTGATTCCGTTCCAGTTACGACCAAGTTTCTGCAGCATACATGAGGCAATTGGGGTTACTCACTATGGTATGTCATTTGCACCTTCAAAGTGCAAAGTGTTAATGCAAGATTGACAAGAACCCATTCCTGCACTTTCGTTGGATAATGACACTCTGGAAGTAGTCGAAAGATTTGTCTACCTTGGGAGTTGCATAACGGCTGGTGGAGGTGTGGGCGAGGAGATCTCTCAATGCGTGATCAAAGCTAGATTAGCGTTTGCTAATCTGTGGCATCTCTGGCACCGACGCGACATATCCCTTTCACTGAAAGGGCGTGTATTGTGCAACGGTACGCACCGTGTTGCTCTATGGCTGCGAAACCTGGCCTCTCCAAGCAGACCACGTCCAGCGATTATCAGTCTTCGACAATCGTTGTCCGCTCAACATTTCCCGCGTATGATGGGAGCATCGCGGGAATAACGATGAAGTCAGACGACGGGTGCTAGGATCAGATAGTCTTCCAGTGAGCATTGGCAAGGGCACGTCCTACGAATGCCTGAGCACCGTCTGCCACATCGTGCACTATTCGCAGACATCGGTTCAGGCTGAAAGAAGCAGCGAGATGGACAGGCTATGACGTGGCGCACAGGGTTAAAGAGATTATGCTCGGATCTGGCTTCCGTTGGGGTTTCCCGGCTCCCTGGCTGGGGCCGCAAAGATTCAGATTGTCTTTGGCTGGAGACACTGCGGGATATGGCATCAAACCGAAGTCAGTGGAGCGAATGCACCCTCTCCTGTTTGCAATCCCAAAAACGAAAACAGAACTCAAAATGGCTGAAGTAAAAAAAAATGGTTACTCCCCGAAGTTGACCGTTTTATTTTTCCTGCTTTGGTATCTATATTTGGTCGTTCATCTATAGTTATTTTGGTGCCGTATCTGTAAAGATTGGTGTTAAATAAATAATAAATATACTCGAGAGTATTGAATTCTATAGACAACCGAATATCGCGGTGGCACCAGAGATTTCACAAGTTGGGAAATGCCAAACAAGCTCTCTGTATGCGTGTAGACGCTTTATTCGTGATGCGTCTTGTAGGTGAGATGTAGCTGTTCATATAGGTAAACTAATCTACATTTTCTATTGGTTACACAGCAGAAATTGGGTTAGGAGCTATGTCAGACCGATACTTTAACAAGGTCAATCGACTTGAGCGCCGGAATACAGTGCACTTTCAATCATGTGGTAACAATAGTCTAGTCAATCGAATAAAGTTCAAATAAACTGTTGCCTTCATGAAAGTATCGAACACCTAGAAATTAAAATTCTCCTCCATAAGCGGATCCGCCTCGACCGGAATTTGTGCCAAAAAAGGAATTCAGAGATCCAAGACAGGGATTTTCAGGTGTGTGGCCGGGGGAGAGAGGATCGAGCAGGTTTGTGAGAACTAGAATCAGAGAGATCAACGAGTAGTGCATAATTGGGGTTGGAGAAAGCACTTTATTGACAAACTTAATTTAAGATTTGATATTACTTATTATTACTAAAAGAGTAACGATAAAAACACCGTATCGGCTTACATGATCTAAGTACATTATGCTGACAAAACAAATGATGGGTTAACTCTAGAACAAAAAAATCCTTTTATAACAATTTTTTGGTACAGTTTGCAGCTGAACAAGTAAAACCACTACCTTGGTCATTGCGGTGTTCTGTCGCTGGAGAATGGGTCAGACATCAGAAAATCGGATCTTCCTTGGACACTTTGGAGCAGACCTAGAAACAGTCAACGCATAGCACAATATCCCCGTAACCGTTTAAAATCCGACTTCTAATTCTCAATCTCCTCTTGTTAAAAAGATCAACCCACAGAGTGAAGCAACAATCCGCCATTACGATATCATCCCATAGATTGTTGCACAGTAAAAGATATACTAAAACAGACAGCGAAAGCCACAGGTTGTACCGGGAGCGTTGCGACAACTAAAATCAGACGTGAAACATTCATTGATCCAACTTTTTGGTGACTTCTAAGCAGTCACATTATCCGTTTTCTGTATTCAATTTAATGCTTTATCCTTAGTTCTCTGATAAACCAATTGCCCCAGGAAAGAAACACAGAAACAGAAATGATTAGATAGACAGAATAGCTCAACAGGAACGAGTATAAGGACAGTATAGGAGTACATACCACTAGATGGAGGACTATTACCGCCTGTCTTCGATTTTTTCGCCGTGGCTGTGGTGACTTGGGTCCTACTTTGAGTCTGCGCACCGGAGGAAAATGGTTTTCGTGAATGACTCACACGCTGAGGTTGGTTGATCGTGCCAGGGTAGTTTTCAGGACTATCTGGGTCCCGGTGGCGCTGTCGTTTAGTCGGGCCTGATTCCGTTACGGTTGTACTTAAACGCTTATCTAGAGCGGGAACCACACGATCGGCTGAATTGGTCTGATGCGACGGAATGGTACTTCGTGATCGCGATTTTCGCGGTCGATTCAAGTAATTGTCATCAATTGGAACGGAGGAGTCTCCTGTCGTTTCCAGCTCCGCAAGTAAATCATCCAGGTTCGGATCCACCGGCGCATTCACTGGTTCCTTGAAAAAAAGAAAAGTTGCACAAAAACCAAACGTCAAGTCAAATTGATCGCACCAAGGCACTTTAAGTCAGCGTTGTCAAGCGGTGTAGTTTACCTTGCGCTTTTTTACCAACGACTGAGCTGAAGTGGCTGCGAATAAGCTGCGTATATCACGACCAACAGCCGGTCGTAGTGGAGCTGTTTCACTTGCCCGTATATCCGGATTGAGGCGAGCCTTTTTGGTA